CACACTGTTAGGCCTGGCAAGGAGTGTGGTTCCTGGGTGTTTGTTCCACTTATTATTGAACACCCAAGTATTTGGAAATGTCTGAATATTTTTTGCAATGTGGAAACCAAACATCCAGGTGACAGCCTGGGTCTTTGCCCTTTGGCTTTTTACCCAAGTGTTTTTGGTGCCATACAAACTAAATCTACGTTCCCAGTTATCATCTGAAGGTAGCTGGAGATTTAACAGGCATGCTGAGAGATTTTGGTAAGAGAATTCTGGGGGAAAAAACCTGTTTAAGCCATTTTCTGTCTTTGCATTGGCAGGTGTGGAATGTTTGTGGAATCTACTTTTGTACATGTAAGAGAGTTCAGGCCCTTTGCTTCGATCTGCTTTGTTTCAATATTGAAATGTTACTTTAAAAAGACTTCAGTGAACATAGTTTTGAAGCTCTGTGCTCTCTGATTCTGTTATGTGGCCGATGGAAAATAATGATGAGTTCCACAAATATTTGGCCATGCGCAGGAATGAAGACAGAGAATTGTACCTGTGTTGGTTGCTGCAGGCTCTCTCTCTGCTTTCGCAAGGGTTCTGTAACTGAGGACCAAACACTCAATGTGTAGCCACACAGCTGTTTTTTACTTTTGTTGCATATGAGATTTCTGTTTAAGTTTGGAAAATGCAAATGAAAAAAAGTAAACAATGTTTATAACCCTTCCATTTAATTATGTAAAGTGAATTGCTCACAACTTGGCATGCTGTCTTCCTGATTTTAGGCATGTTCACACAGCCAAGCTTGTAGCTTTGGGTCCATGGGTATGTGTCAGGGTGTGTTATGTGTGTTTGTACATTTTACAAAATGGAATCACGAATAAACTTTCTTATCTTCAACCTTTTTTTCTTCTATCAAATACTACATAATGATACCTTACAATCTATCAAATACTTATATCTTATTATGTTCTGTACATAAGAATATCTTGTTCTTCTAGTGACTATATATGGTTTGGTTATAATGAACTATGTATTAGGTTGCATAGGGCAAACTGTACTTTATTAATGAGGTGTGTGTGTGTGTTCGTGTGTGTTCATTGAACCCACGGTCTTTCACATTCTGGGCAGTATGCTCTGCCACCAAGCTATATCCCCAGCTGAATGACTCTCTCCTTTTTTTGTGCTGGGGATCGAACTCGGGACCTTTTGCTTGTGAGGCAGGCGGCAGAACCATCAAGCTATATCTCCAGCTGAATGACTCTCTTCTTGATGGATCCATTATCTTGTTACAAAGAGTACTTGAAGTAGCAATTTTGCTCATGTGCCATAAAGGAATTGTGCTATTTTCTCTGGGCTAGATTTCCTAGAAGTGGTATTAACCAGGTCAAAAAAAAAAAAAACATACATATGTTATTAACTTTAATGGTACTATCAAATTATTTCACCAAAAATTTTTTTGTTCAATTTCTGTTGCCATTTTCAACGTAAGTCCATATTTACCTTCATTTTTACCACGTACCGAATGACATGATCTTTCTAATTTTTGTTAATCAGCTGGTGAATAGCAGTGTCTCATTATTCTTGTTTTCATTTGCACTTCCCTGATTGTTAATGAGGCCATGCATCTTTTCATATGTTTATTGGGTATTTACGGTCCCTGTTCTGTGAAAGCAGAGGTGGTACACAAGCATCATTTGACCTAACTGGCAAAATAATTGTAACACTGATGATCTGGGAAATTAAGACACGCACACACTGGAGGGTGTGTCTTCCATTTTTGTTGGGAGGGTTTACATAAAAGCTCAGTGTAGAAACATGGTGATTTAGTGGATCCCAAAACTCTGCACCTTTGTTTCCCATTTTTAGAGCTACTGTTCCATTCATTTAGCTTGCTGTAAAGCAGCCACTAATTGACAGTAGGATATCCCCTACAAAAGTGTCAGAAGCCCTACTGTTGGCAGCTTCTAAGGATGTCCATTTGGAAAACGCCGCAACTCATAATTTGGAATTGGTAACATGTCAAAGAATCAAATACTGGAGCAGTGGTGTGAGAAAATATATATTAACAGCATCACACGGGGCAGTATTCATTGAGCAGCAGGGTTCTAGAAGCATGGAAACATCCTCTTTAGTAAATATACTTCTCACCACAGAAGCATTTTATCAGTGTTAACTTATTAAAATTTGTAGTGCATCGCCAGGAAGTTGATATTCAGGGAGTATGGTCCCCTGAAGAGGAACCTTGCATAGAATGCCATACCCCTAACAAGAGACTGGAGCTGCCTGCATTCCCTTGGGACAAAAAAAAAGGCAGCTGCCAGGCTGAGCTGCATATGCCAATATTTAATGTCTTGGGTAGAGGCAGATGATGTTCCCTCCCTTTGTGGTTCAGGTTCAGTTCCATTTGGAATACCCCATGTGCCAAATCTGGATCCAAGCGCAAGAAAGACATTGACAGTTTGGATGGGGTCCAGAAATAGGCACTGCAGTGATTAAGGGCTTAGGGGCATGACATTTGAGCAGGGGCTCAAAGAACTGAATATTTACAGCGGGGCTAAATGTTGGATTACACAGCTTGGTGATGTTGGGGGCCTTTGGCTACATCCCTAAGTTACCCTTCATGTGACAGGTTCTTCAGTGACAAGGAGAAAGCTATTTCATATAGCCCTGAGAGCTTGGGTAAGATACCCGCCTTGTGGGCCTATCTGCCTCCGGTTAAATCAAGGAGCTAGTACCTGCTTCTCCCATGTGTTGTGCATGGCAGCTCCAAATAGCGCCCAGAGGCCAGCATATAGAAAGTTTTCTTAGTACTAACTGAAGAATTTGGTATCCACACCTCCTTCAGAGTACTCATCATGCATGAGAGGACTTCTGTCCTAAGGGGCAACCCGGTTCCATGTATTGGTTCTCTTATAAGTTGTGGCACAGCCAAGAACACAAAGCGAGTCTTCTGTGAGTACAGTCCTCCTCTGTTGTAGATCAGATGCCCGCAGATCTATTTTACTGCTAGATACACATCTCACAACAGTGGGAATCAGTTTTCCTGTCACCAGCTCCATGTTGTTGGACCCTGAGACAACCTCCATAATCGTGAAGGGGTCTGGTAGCAGCTGAGAGGGTGACTGGCTAGAGGTCATTCTTTCTGAACCTAGGACTTTTGTACTGTACACAACCCTTGTTATTTTTTACTTTGAGAGAGGGCCTCACTAAGTGACCAGCCTCAGCCTCTAAAAGAGTGGCATTACAGGTATGCACTACCATGCCAGGCCTCAGAACTCATTCCTAACTCACTGCTTGCACTCTGTTAGAAGAGTCCAGCCTTCACTCAGTGATCCTTCATAAGACCGCCAGTGATGAACCGTGATCTTGTTTTTGAGCTCAGCAGCTGTAACTGTACTCTGCAGTCATGGCTCACACAGAGTAGAGTAACTGGCTTGAAAACATTGGTGCTGTAGTGGGCTCTTACAATCTCCTACCTCTGTTGGTGGGCCGGTCACTGGGCCTGCTTCCTCTGCCCTTGGGTTTTTATCAGGGAGTACTTGTGAGATGATTTTCTTCATTCTCCAGTTTAGTGCCTTGAATCACTCATGTGCTTCTCATGTGCTTGTGAAAGTTCTGTCTTTTTTTTTGGTACCGGGGATCGAACTCAGTCCCTTGCTTTTGTGAGGCAGGCTGAGGAACCACTGAGACAAATCCCTGGCTGAAAGCTCTGTCTGTGTTATCTGTTCTTGTGTGATTAAGGCTGAAAACACTTGCAGTGCTCAGGGTATCATTCAGAAGGTCAGTTGAAACTCCTGAAATGGTAGTTGTGATTATTGGGCCTAGGCTTTTTATTATTTTTTCTTTGCATTTCTCTGGAGTGCCTTTTTCAATACCCCCAAGAATAATGTGGAAAGAAATAAATGTCTGAATTCTAAAAGAGACTGAAATTTGCTCCATGTCCTAGTAATGAAAACTTATGCTTGTTAAAAAGTACGAGCCTACTGAAATATTTTTAAAATGTGAGGAAATTCGAATCTAGTCTGTCTGCATACTGACGGAACTGTTGGTAGGAGCCACACTAGCTTATCTGACATGTGCTGCTGCTTATCTTTGCAAAATCTCAAGGACCGCATACAGGTGGATATAGAACTTTAAAATTTTATAAGGATTCATTGCTCTCATATTTGGAATTCTGGATATATCAGGAACATGCAACCAGTATGCAGCCACCCTAGGGATGGACGGGGTGGACCTGTGTTTCCAGCTGAGATGTGTTGAGATTTCCAGAGAGCATCTGAGAGCTGTGAAGAAAGAAATGAAGGGAGTCGGGGGTTTAGCTCAGTGGTGCTGTCCCCTGCCTTGCAAACAGAAGGTCCCAAGTTTGATCCCTGGTACCAGAATAAATAAATAAAAATTAAAAAGAAAAGAAAAGAGAAAGAAATGAAGGGCTTTTAAACCAGATAGCTCCAGGAACAATAAAAATGCTTGCCTCATGGGCTCTGTGGGAGAATCAAATTATCCAAGGCAGGAGGGAGCATTCAGGGCACAGCCTGGCACAGTTAGTGCTGCTGGTGTTGGTGATTCATGGTTCCTGGGTACCTCGGGGGCCGAGGGGTCCCAGTGGATGTGTGGCCTGGTACCCCACCTGCTCTGGGGCTTTGGTACTGGGTGGACTTCCTGTCACTTGAGGACCCCTCAAACCCATGACATGGCGGACCCACTCTGATATCCCTGAATGCCACTTCCATCTCAGTGTGTCAGTGCCTGCCTCACAGGTGCTCATATGGCAAAGGTCAGGATTTTCACGTTAAGTATGAGGACTATTTAGAACGTAGACAATACTCAGCTTCTCCTTTGTTTTTCTTTTTTTTTCCTTTTGGTGCCAGGGATTGAACCCAGGGAAGTGCACATATTGAGCATATACTCCACCACTGAGCTGTCTCCCAACCCCGACCAACTGCATTTTAAATGAAGAAAGCAAAGGAAGTATCTGGTATTCTGTGCGAAGATGGTTAAATAACCACCTTTACGTTTTATCTTTTCAGGTACGAAACCAGCACTGGAGCCTTATTATGGAAAGCGTGGTCCCATCTGACAAAGGCAATTACACCTGTGTGGTGGAGAATGAGTATGGCTCCATCAATCACACGTACCACCTCGATGTCGTTGGTGAGTTTGCTTCCCTGTGTGCGGCAGCTGTGTACCAGTCTGTTCTAGATTCCAGTTATTTGAAACCGCGAAAGTGCATCTTGTTTCTCCCATGTATTTAGGAGAATTGGTTTGTTTTCATTCTTTCTGCATGCAAGCTGTCATGCGAGAGGGAGTCTTCTGTCACTGACAATGTTCTCTTTCCTGATTACCCAGGCTTTATGGGTTTTGCGAGATCCTCTTGGTCCCCAAGCATCATCTTTTATAAGGTGGGCATGTGCGAAATGTCTGGAAGCTGAGATTACTGTGAACAGTGTGAGTGTGTGCAGGGTGAAGGGGATCAGATAGAATGTACAAGAACTTTGTTTTTAGAGGAGAGGTAAAATTTCCTAAAGAAAGGCAACTGTATCATGTAGACTGGAGAATAAAGAAAAAGGTCTTATAACTGAGCTGATAGCTGTTTATAAAAAGGTCAACACCAAGGGGCCCTTCACTTCCATTGGAAGAGAGTTGTTAGACACGGCCAGTTCGGTGTTTATTCCTGGAAGCTATTTTCTCTGTGAAAAGGGAACCACGCATATGAGTTTATATATGTTTCTGTCAGAGTGCACAGATAAATAAGCCATTTTCGTTAAACATCTTAAAGATCACATAGCCTGTTGTCTTGGAAAGTCAAATTCCTTCCAAGTTTTGCCTGTTAGGATGGGTTTTTATTGGAACTGATGAAGAAGGGGTGTTTCTGTCTTGGAGAATTGCCAGAACGTGAATCTGCTCCTTCCACGTGTTGTGCTGTGCGGGGATGGGGGGGCTGGGGGTTAAGATCTCTTCTGTGTTGGAGCTGTTTGTTCTCTGACTTGTCACCTATCATGACTCTCAATCTGCTGCCTGTCCTTGGGCCATTTCTTTGAGTTACCTGATTGATGTGCTCTCCCCTACGTGTAGGTTACTGACTTCTGCTAAAGATTTAACTCAAAGCTTACAAGAATTTATTTTACTTTAATGTGACTGTAGGTAATGCCAGAGACACATGCCCACCCACTGTGTTCTATAAACAAGTCTCTCCTACCTCACTTCCCATGCATGTGCTCCGGGCAGTATCTCACTGGTGGGTTTTTGTTTCCCTTTCGTAAAATGTAACCTCTTTGAAGAAAGAGATTCCGTAGATATTTGGATTGCCCAAAGAGCCACTAAAAACCTCTCCAAAAACTGGATTAACCAAATTATATAGGTTTAGTTGGACTGAAAACTGAACAGAAAACCATTTTGATTTTGTGTCAAGTTAAATGAAGCTCGGTTCACAAGACACTCTTTGCCTTAGAAAGCATGATATGGTCTTCTATTCGTATACAAGTATTCCGGGGGGGAAAGAATATTTACTTGAACATTTGAGTTATTCAGAAGTCTTGATGTGAAATTTGATAGGCCTTGGTATAGTGTTTATTTTGTGGGCAGTCATAAAATAATGAGTCTTGAGGCCTCTCTCTCCTAGAGATATTTATGGTACATTTCTTATAATTACTGTGCTTAGGTATTTTCAAAACAAAGACAAAGAGAAGTAACGCGCTTAAAAATGAGAACAAAATAGCTGACATCTATTTTGGCATCGAGGTACTATAAATCCATTCTTCAAAGAACACATGACTTGGAATTTACTAATTTACTTTGAGTTTCGCGTGTGCTGAATTTAATGTGACATGTTTCCATTTAAAGAAAGAAAGTTCAATTTTGGGCTAAAAGTTTTACCTAGCTAATTTTGAAATTAAGTAATTTATTGTGGGAAGAAATAATTGTGCTAAAGAAGTCTTCTGGGATTATGGCTTTGCATAGGCTTGGAAATTATTCATTGAGATTGCTGGGACTATTCTATCTAGGGGCTTTTGCTTACAGCAGGTTTTACGTGGAGTTGTTATGTAAAACATCCAAACGCGCCTTGCCCTACCTCCTCGCTGAGCTTTCTGGCAGCTCATCCCCATGAAGCCCTAAAATCTCTCTTAGAGTTTAGGGTTGGGATTTGAATTGGCCTGCTGAATAATGGAATTGTGCTGTCTAATGTTAATCCCCTGGCAATCAGTCTTGTTGAAAGAGGGTATGATTCAGTAGTGTAATGTAGAGGGAGCATGGAGTGTATGGAGTAATGCAGAGAGAGGCCTGATTATGTCACAAATTTGGGAGATCGCCCAGCCAAATGCGGGCCAATAATGACACAATGCTGGTTGGGAATATCCATTAAAGCTCAACTCCAATAATTTTCCAAGCCTTGAGCCTTCTTTATAAATAGAAGCCAAAAGTCAGTGGAGTATAAGACATTTTCAGTAAAGATGGAGGCGTGAAATACTCTCCTCTTTGCTCGAAACTCTAGTAATTGCTTTGGGAAGCACTAATAAAATAAGAATCAAGTCACTTAAAGAGTCTCGTAGAACTACAAGATTGGCAGTTGCTCTGAACATCTCAGCAAGGGGAAAAAAGATTCAGGCTTAAAAAATGGCTTTCTCATGGCCCACAGGTCTAAATTTAATATATTACTGGGTGATAACAGCCTCTAAGCTACCTCTCTGTTTCGCAGAGAGTCAGAACCTCTTTCCCAGTGAAAATGAAATCCTGTTCTTGCTCACACTCTGAGGTTTTATTTTTGTTGCTATGCTACAGAGACTTGTGGTTCAGATATTAGGAAACATCAAATGGGTGAGATCTTTTTATTGAAATTCTTCTCTGGAAAGGCATCCCCACAAGCACTTTAATGTAAAAGCCGTGTAATTTAAGTGACATTCCTGTGTTCTGGAGTTAAACAGCAAGCCATTGTTGTGCACGGGAGAAATGCTTTTGTTTATGGGATCCCCTTTAGGAGCCTGGCTTGATCCTCATTAAAATTGACACCATTACTTTTTAGCCATTTACTGCGAGGCAAAAGTAGTGTGAAGCTCTACGTTTCAGTGATTGTGGCAATAATAAAACAGGCTGCCCTAAAGTAGCTGGCTGCAGGAGGTGCTAAGTCTCTGCTGTGGTTCATCAGCGAGGCTGCTGATGCCCTGGGTTTTATAGGGCCCTGCCACCAAGAAGCCTCATCTAGAATGGCCTCTTAACTCTCCACTTTCGCTGTGTCTGACAGTGAGGGAGCTGAGACTCATGGAAACGGTGACATAGCACACGTCTGTGTATCTGCTTATAGCTCTGGAACCTCGAAGTTCAAATGAAGGTGTTGTCGGGTGTGATGCCTTTGTCACAGTTTCCACTGTGTGACATGTCAGCAGTCCTGGGGGAGGCATCGCTCCACTCTCTGCCTCAACCTTCATGTAGTTGTCTTCATTGTGCAATTTGAATCTCCCTCTGTTTTTCTCTTAAGAGGATGCCTGTCATTCGATTTGGGGTCCTCAGTAAATCGAGGATGATCTAATCTCTGTAGCCTTCACTACACCTGCAAAGATCTTTTTTTCTGAATAAGGTCATGTTTATGGGTTCCCAGGGTGAGGACACTGGCATCTCTTCTTAGAGCCGCTGTTCAACTCACTGCAATAGTCCTGAGGCACCGAATGAGTTTGCAGGTGAAAACACCATATTAGTACATACATGGGGGACTAGCTGCAGGTGCCAGTTTCCTTCCAAAGCTGAGTTCTTTTTGAGGGTTAGAAGGAATCTCTACTAGCTTTTATATTTGTCTCTATCGAAAGTCTTGCTCAGCGAACCAAGTGCCATTTCAGGACCAGCAGAACTGGCTAGTCGCTGCTCTTCTTATATCCTGCTGTAGTTTGTACCGTGGTCATCAAGGCCATCCTAAGACTAATTTTGTAACTGGACTTGTAGAAGAGAATCTTGGAGTTCAGATGCTTGAAGTTCAGTGAATTGGATTCTTTACCCCACCTCCTCCCCACCCCATCTTCAACAGAGGTGGTTCAGGTCAAGCAGATGTAACGATTCCTGCGAGTACTTGGAGGAGGCAGAGGAGCTAGGTTCTCCCTGTAGGTGCTCTTGGCTCCTAGGTCAGCGCTGCTCCAGCTGCAGGTTAACTCCTTTATTTTGTGTTCACTTCGGTGTAGACCGGCAATGACCGTAGCCACAGGACTCTGAGTAGGAGCTGCTGCTATATCACCCAACATTTAGCTCTTTTCTGACCTGAAAATGAGAGAGTTACAGACAGGTACATAGAGAAACACATAGACAGAAGACTGGTGGTTTTTACTCATGAAGACCCAGTGGTTCTTTCTCACTCATGAAGACCCAGTGAGTGTTTCCTTCTCTTGGACATTTCAGTTCTGCATTCCCAGTGACCATCTGATAACAGAGTGGCTTTTTCATTTGGCATTGACTATTTTGGGGGCAGAGTACAATGGGAGTAGAAATGGCACCTCTGGATTTGCCCGTCTAGCCATGTACTTTGAAGAACTTTGTCCCCCACCCTGTAGAGAAAGGTGTAAGCAGCAGACCAGTGTCTCAGTGAATGGTTGGGGTCCACCAGGGGCTGCATTTGACTTCTGTCTGGGTGGAGATCACCCTGGCTTTACCACCAGTTCCAACTTGCTCAGTGGCAGACCAGAATGGCACTACCGACTAACCCTTGACATAAATCCTTGGTGACTTGGCTCTGGACATGATGGGGCATAGCCTGAAAGCACGAAGAAATTCTGTCCTGTGCTGACTCCCTCTCAGGTGTGTATTCAGGAGGAATGGGGAGTTGCCTGTTCCAAGCACTGACTGATAAGCCCACTGTGACGTTGACACCTGGCACTGAGCTATTGGCAGCCGGTTCCCAGTGGGAGAAGGAGAAATTGCACAAATTATTTACTGCCAGGGGCAGTTCGCGTCCTGGGAAGACAAAGGCTTATGTGATCCCTGAGCAGAGATGAAGGGACAGAAAAGCCAGTGTCCCTCGAATCACATCTGAAGAGTGAATTTGGGACCCTCTGTGGGTTTGGCATAGAGTAATATTTAAACCAATGAGAAAATGGTGGTGGCCTTGGTAGTTAATTAAATGGTGAGTTTACTACTGAAGCTTTTAGCGTTAGGTCCTTACTGCACATTTTCTCCCG